TCTTTGTGAGAAGAGTTTTAAACAAGGATTTGAGTCCTTCATAATTATAAGAATTGGTAGTAATTATAAGAACAATGATAAGAGTATCTATTTTTTCTTGTTACCTTTTGGTAAGGTGGCTTTCGTATTGTTCTTAGAAATCTGTGTGTTTCATTTACATTATCAAATGTACTGGATTAAAATTGTTCATAATATTTTCCTACTGTGTTTTAATCTCTAGGATCTATAGAACTTGCAGGGACGTCCTCATTTTCCATTCCTATGCTGCAGTTTTGACCTTCTCTTTTTCTCGATTAACGTCCCCAGTTGATAAATTTATCGATTTTATCAGCGCTTTCATGGCATTAACTTTTGAGGTTGTAGGCCTCTGCATTGTAGACTTGTTTTCCAGTTTATTAATTTTTACTTTTATCTTCAGTGTTTCTGTCGTTTCTGTCCCTAATTTGCTGAGGTTTCTTCTTAACTTCTTAGGTGGCAGTTGACCTGCCTGATTTTCATGTGTGTACACAACACACGCACACACATACGTGTGTGTGCACACGTTTCCACCACGTTGAGGTGTTGTCTTGGGATATTTCCAATTCCCACACGTCCTTTTTGCTGTGTTGAATCTACTGTGCTTTGAAACCCATCTGCCAAATTCTGAATTTTAATTGTTGTGCTTTGGGGGCTGGAATTTCTAAGGTGTTCTTTCTTCAGAGCTGCCGCCCTGCCTCTTTACAGCTCCCAGTTCTTGGCTGGAATTCCTCACCTTGTCCTTTTCTCCTTTGCACATGGTGTGCACTGCCCCTTGCTTCTCTGCACCCGGCATTCAATTACTTTAAACTCCATGACTGATCCAGCGCCAGTAACTAGCACCTCTGGTCCTTTCTGCCTCCCGAGGTCTCTGCGAGTTCCTGGTGCTCCCCGCCCCCCCCCCGCCCCCGAGGCCTGGTTATTTTTTATCATGTGTAGATGCTGTTATCAGAAGAAGTTCATAGCAGTGTTTTCTGTTTCCAGGAGCAAGCTCTTCCGCTGGAGTGTGTGTGTGTGTCCTGCCGTGTTTGGGGCTCCAGCGGTCCAGGTCCCCTGAATCCAAGTTGTGGGTTCAGAGGAGTGGATCTGACCTGTCCCCACCCGCTGGCCCTCACTCCCAGGTGGCCCTTCAGGGACAGCCGTCCTCCAGGCTCAGCCCGCAGGGCCCCGTAGCCCTCGTCCTTGCCTGCGAGCGGGGCTGGGCTGTCCAGGGTCCCCTCTCCCCAGGGGGTGGTGGGCTGGCCTGCACCCTGGGAGGCCAGAGAGCCTCCTCGTTGGTCTGGGGGCTGTTTCCCACGCCCTCCACACCTGCCCCTCACTGACGGTGTTTGCACGTCCTGCCTGTGTCTGCCTGTCCCCTCGTGGGCTGCTCGGGACAGGAGGAGCTTTGAGGCCTGAAGGTGGATGCTGTCCCCTCACCTGCAGGCTGGTCAGACCTGGTTGGCGGCGTCCAAGGTCAGGGAGGTGCCGCCCTTCTCCGCAGCGCCTCTGACTCCGTGTTCCTGTGGGCAGCCGGGCAGCCTCCCAGGTCCGGCCGCGGCTGTGAGCAGACTCCCTGTTGTCCGGGAGGCTTGGGGCTGGCCCTTGGTGGCTGTTTCTGTCCGTCTGGTCTTGGGCAGCATCCGGGCCTGGGAGCAGAGCCCTACAGCTGCCCCAGAACCTGGCTGTGCAGACCCACAGCAGCGGCTGGGCACCCTCGGTCCGGAAGAGGCCACGGGCACCCACATGCAGCTTAACTTCTCGAATTAACGGATTTCCTGTTGAGGGTCTCGGTGTCCACCCGGTAGACACTCCAACTGGAGGCCACAACGGGCATCCTGGGGGCAGGTCCCTCCTTAAAGCCTCTCCTCTGGGGCCTCTGGAACCCACCCGCCTAGACCCCTGCCTGGCCTCCCTCCAGGCTCTGTGCCACCTCCCAGGGCTCCACTCGTCTGCCTCTGGAGCTCTCTTCTCTGGGGGAGGGACCCCTTCTGGTTTCCCTGCTGTGGGAGGGTCCTGGGGTTGCTGTGACAAAGGACCACAGAATGTTGGCTTAAAACAACAGAATTCATCCTCTCCCAGTTCTAGGGCTGGAAGTCTGAGATCCAGGTGTGGCTGGGCCACTCCCTCCCTGGGCTCCAGGCTGGGTCCTTCCTGCCTCGTCCAGCTCCTGGTGCTCCAGGCGTCCCTGGGCTCGTGGCTGCCTCCCTCCAACCTCTGCCTCTGTCTTCACGTGCCTTCTCCTCTGTGTCTCCTCTTACAAGGTCACTGTTGTTGGATTTAGGGTCACCCTCATCTAGAGCGGTCCCATCCGGAAGTCCTTAACTTGATGACACCAGCAAAGACCCTTCTTCCAAACAAGGTCACGTCCACAGGCTCAGGGCTGAGGGCGTGAGCACACCTAGTCCAGGGCCACCACTCACCCACTACTCTTGCCCCTGCGTGGGCCCGCCTGACCCCCAGGTTGGCCGCACTGCTGGGTTCACGGGGTTGGTAAGGAAGGCGCTGACAGACAGTAGAGGCCGGCTCTGCGGCAGGGGAACTGGGGCCCAAGATGTGGCTCATGGGAAGCCAAGCATCTTAGCAGAGTGAGTCCCCCCAAAACTGTCAGGTTTGTGGTGGCCCAGAGATGTTCCCACTGTTGAACAGCAACCAGTTCTCCTGAGGGGTGGGGATGACAACCCTGGGGGCCCTGCGGCTGCAGTTGGAGACACCCTAACCCCCAGCCCCTTCCCCACTTTCCTTTATTGGAAAGGCTCCTAGCTTAGGCCATCTTTTGAGGATCGAAAAACTGTCCTTTGTTCTCCCCACCGCCTCCCACCATGTCCTGATCCCCAACCCCACCTGCCCGGCAATGTTCCGGGGCAGCTCCCAGGACAACGCAGGATGGAGGATGGGCCACGGCCTGCCTGCAGGTGTAGGGGGAGCCTCGGGAAGATGCCGGCTTTGCCCCGGGAACAGGGAACCGTGTGGCTGTAATTGTGGTTCTCAGGCTGCTCCGAGGGGCAGGAGGCCCCAACTCTGTGGGCCCTTCCCGGCCAGTGGTCTGAAGCTCCGTGGCCAGCACCTGGGTGGCATCCGGCTCAGACAGTGCGGTCGGCCCATCCTGTCGGGATCTCCGCAGGGACTGTGAATGGAGGTGCTGGGGGTGGCGGGGCCGTGTCCACGCCGGATGGACTCCTGAGACCGCCTGTGCTCCGCATTCAGAGAGGCTGCTTTGTGCCCGCCCGGGAGGCTCTCGCTGCCTGGGATGAGTGGTCATTCACATCGAGTGTGGGGCAGCGATGGAGTGGGTGGCCGTGTTGTGACTGAGATGTGCACAATTGCCAGAGGGCTGCCTTGTAGTCCAAAGACTGACACGAAGAGCTGGCGGTGCGGGGCGGGTGGCAGGCAGGGCTATGGGCCTGGGACGCCCTGGTTCCCCTAGGGCCATTTATGAGGAGGCTGTGCCCTCGGCAAGGGCAGCCCCAGGGGTGAGGCCAGCCCGAGGCACTGGGGGCCTGAGCCCTGTGGATGGAGGGGAGCAGGGAAGCAAGCTGGCAGTCGGCGTCCATCCCCTGGGCTTCCAGCCACTTGGTCTTTGCAGTCACTGTCCCTGCAGAGGACCAGGTGTGGGGCCAATGCCTGCACCTGAAGGGCCTCGCAAGGGGTGGGGTAGGGCAGGGTGTCCCTGGACCAGCTGACCAGGCGTCCCCTCCTCCGTGGGGGGTCTATTTGGGGCTGTTCCACTGTTCCTCCAGCCCCCTCCCTGTGCCCCTGTCCTGGGACCAAGCCCTGACACAGCGCATCTCAGAGGCTGGGCTGCCCTGGGGCTTGTAGGCCCCGCACCTGCTCCTCCTCTGCACACGGGGAGAGAGGCTGGTTCAGCTGGTGTTTCCCAGAGGGGCTCCCTAGAGGCGGGGGCAGGAGGAGGGTCTCACAGCGCCCGGGGAGGTGGTGTGGTAGGGCTGGAGAGGGTTCCCTGCTCTGGTCCCGGCTCCCAGACACACTCATCCTGCCACATCTGACACCATCCTTAACCCCCAACCCAAGTGCTCGCGCAGCTCAGCCAGGCCCCCTCCAGCGAGGCTGGGCCATCCGACTGTGCCCAGGCCGCCTGGGGGGCCGTCTGTGGATCTGTCTGGTAACATCCAGCAGCTGCGGGCAGAGGCAACTGAGGACACAGGAGAGGTGAGAGGGCTGGAGGATGGAGAGGTCTTGGGAACTGGAAGGCATCTGCTTCCCAAGGGACAAGGAGCTGGGCCCCACTGGCCTGGTCGGATTACAGAAGTGCCCACAGGTGAGTGTAGATTATGGGCAGGGTGAGGGGGCTGTGTGGACCCTGGGAGCGAGGTGCTGAGAGCTGGTTTGCGGGAGCCAGGTAGTGGAGGGGCATTTACACCTGTGGAAGGAGGAGAACACTCCATCTTTACTTTCAGGGCAGACCCACATTCTGCTCCAGGAAGTGGAACTGGGAGAAGCTGTTGTTGCCTTTAATACCACACCTGGCCCTGCTCGTCGACACACCTGGCCCGGCTCAGACACACCTGGCCCGGCTCACAGACACACCTGGCCCTGCTCGCCGACACACCTGGCCCTGCTCACAGACACACCTGGCCCTGCTCACCGACACACCTGGCCCTGCTCACAGACACACCTGGCCCTGCTCGCCGACACACCTGGCCCTGCTCACAGACACACCTGGCCCGGCTCACAGACACACCTGGCCCGGCTCACAGACACACCTGGCCCTGCTCACAGACACACCTGGCCCGGCTCACAGACACACCTGGCCCTGCTCACCGACACACCTGGCCCTGCTCACAGACACACCTGGCCCGGCTCAGACACACCTGGCCCTGCTCACCGACACACCTGGCCCTGCTCACCGACACACCTGGCCCTGCTCACCGACACACCTGGCCCGGCTCACAGACACACCTGGCCCTGCTCACCGACACACCTGGCCCGGCTCACCGACACACCTGGCCCTGCTCGCCGACACACCTGGCCCTGCTCGCAGACACACCTGGCCCTGCTCACCGACACACCTGGCCCGGCTCACAGACACACCTGGCCCTGCTCACAGA